TTAGATTTAAAGAAAGCTGCAAACTGGTCAGGTGAAAAACTAGGGTGAGGCCTATCACCTGAACCAGTTCCAGATAGGTCGCGCACTGTATGGAATAACTCCGCCTGCTGGTTTGACGCTTCGCTTATCCGGTTAGCGAAGAATGACTGACATGCAGCCTTTACCTTATTCAGGTAGAGGTTAGTTGCGACCTTAACAGCTATCCAATTATGATCCGTCGGGTAATTCCTCCAGTTTCACTTTGGTGGCAAGCTTATGCTGTGATATGTCACTTACCAAAATAAGTACAGTGGTGCCTCGCATAACGGGCGCCCCGTTTAATGACAAATCTGCATAGCGACAATGTTTTTGCAATCGTTTTTGCGATCGCATAACAAAGTTTTCTATGGGGGAAAACTGCTTTGCGATGATCGGTAAGCTGTTTCGCTTACTGATTTTTGCATAACGATGTTTTTTCCCCAGCTGATCGGTGGTTCCAAAATGGCCGCCGGGTAAAACGGACGGATTCCTCGCTTACCGGGCGCCCAAAATGGCCGCCGCATGGAGGATTTTCACTTAAAAGGTAAGTTTTAAGCCCATAGGAACGCATTGAAGGGGATTCAATGCATTCCTATGGGCTTTTAAAATCCGCATAGCGACGAATCCGTATAGCGACGATTTTTGCTGCACGTATTATCGTTGTTATGCTGGGCACCACTGTAAATATGAGTAATATGTATGAGGAGAAGGAGACAGCAGAAGTACAAGGAGATCTCTTTTTTCACTTTTCTTTCATTCTTTATAACAGTGGTTCCCAGCCTTGGGCCTCCAGATGTTCTTGGACTACAACTCCCAGAAGCCTTCACCATCACCTCTGCTGGCCAGGATTTCTGGGAGTTGAAGTCCAAGAACATCTGGAGGCCTAAGGTTGGGGGCCACTGCTTTATAACACAGCACTGTTTCACTTTGGTGACAAGCCAATGTAGTGCCAGGTGGCTTCCCAATAAATTGGGGGAACAGTTCCCCCCCATTCCCCACAGACAGGGAGACAGGAGATGATGGGGGCATGGAGGCTAAATAGAGAACAGGCTAAATAGGATCGCTTTGAGGTGCAGTATGACACCAAAACCATTCAACCCTTGCATGTGGATGCAAGGATGGTTCTAAATCTCAGATTGCACTTTCAAGTGACTCTCTTTAGCTGGATCCAGCCTGGGACAACTTGACTGTCTAGTCACACCCTGAGATATATGTTGAATGACCTTGATAAAATGTTTGGCTCTTTCACAGAAGATATTTTTGTGGCACTACTACCAATTGCACCGGAATAGAAATAATGCCACACCAACTGATTGTGCGGTACCAAGCTTATCATAAGCATACCCATACCTGTGGTTTTAATATTTCTCACCTCATCTGTAGCATCTTTATTTCTCTTGAATTCATCCCTTGCCCAGTGTTTCAAATAACGACGGTCAGCTTCATTAGGTACCTGCCGAATGGTCTTTAGGATGTTTCTATACAACTGAAGAACCTGCTGCCTTCTGAAGAACTAAAAGGCATAAAGCAAAAGGATAACTCATAATTTAGAAAGATACAGGTACTTTACAGCTAGCTTTCCCCCCACAATTTACCTACATCTGGTTTCTCCAGTTTCTAGAACTACATGAGAAGCAGAAAATCTTCCCTCCTTCCTCCTCAAAACATGTAATGTTATACATCTCTGTCACATATACTCTTATTTGCCTCTTCTGTAAACTAAAAAGCTCCAGACACTATAAGTTTTCTCCCAAGGGGAGATGTTTTGCTCCTTTTCTGTACTCTTGCCAGCTCTAAAATATTTTTGCCAAAGTGCAGCACACCAGAGCGGTCCCAGATATGATCACCCCATAGATTTGCATGAAGGCATGGTAAGATCATCACTTTTATTTTTAATAGGTAAGTCCCCCTTGGCTGGGTATGTTCTTTTTGCACAGCAGCCGCCACACAACATGCATGATCTTCTCCTTACTCATTGTCAGCAGAGACCCCCACCAGCATGCAGATCTCCTATGAATATACACGTAAGTGCATTTATAGGTGATGTGGGACACACAGAACATGTGTAAGACAAAACCCTTTAGTATCCATCACTATTATTGTCACCTCTGTTTCAGCTTCCTCAAGATCCACCAACAAGGAAGCTTCTTTCTTTTATGGTAATGAAGCTGTGGTTTGCACTTGCAAGAAAGAGTCCTTTACGTTTAATACGCTTTATATTCCTAACCCTTGCCAACCCTCCCCACAATCTGAGACAAGCTCAAAAGGTTCAAGAGAAAGGAGGAGGGATCGTGCTTTTAAAATGAAACGAAAGAGTAACGTCGGTACTCTTTCTTTGTAACCAACAAGACTAAAGAATATAGCTTGCTCCGCTTCCTAGATAAGGTCTCTTCCCCTTCCAGAAACTCAACTTGGGGGTGGCGGAGTGGGGAAGATGGCCACTGTCAAATGTCCCAGGGGGCTTGGTAGGAACAGAACCACCCCCGCCACCGCCACCGCCAGTTGGCAACCTTGCATGAGCGACACACGCTCTTGAGGACAACCCAAAGCAAAACACGGAAGGGCCCCCCGAAAGGGAAAAGTATTTTTGGCCAAACGGAGCCCTGACCCGAGTCACGCTCACAAGCAAAGGGGAGAAAAAGAGAGAGAGATACGGCGGGGCTCGCAGCTACTCCGCGCAGGGAGCCCGCCGTGTCTTAATTGAGGGCCTCCTCTCTTTTCTTTCTTTTTTTCCCCTCCCAGGCCTAGCGAGGCTCCCAGAGGCTCTCATCGAAAGGATGAAGGACAGGGAAGGAGTCTCCCCACCCCCCGGTCTTTCTCCTCTCCCTCCCCCACCCAACCTGCTTCAGGGTCAGCGTCGCCGGGGGCAGCCGGGACGCCGCCATGACGGACGGCCGCTCGCTCGCTCTCAGCTCCTTTTTGGCGCGGCGGAGGCGGCTCTTGAGCGCCCCGCTCCGTTTCAGGCGCGTTCGGGAGGGAAGAGGCCATGTCACCTCCTCCCCCCCGGCCCGAGGTTGGAAGTGACGAGCCGCCACTGCCTGAGGAGGAGGAAGGGGGGGTTAATAAGGCGGGACGCCGGGTGAGGAGTGAGGGCTTGGCTCCAGCAAGGAGAGGAAACTGCGCTTCCTTGGCTGCTTTCCCGGCTTGCCTTTTAGAAGAATTAAGGCGCAAGCCCTCCGTGGAGAGGGAAAGAGTGCTTTATAGTTTAAACGAATAGGAATTGCACTTCGAGGCCTGGAAACATTTGCTTTTCCCAGCCGTCAAGCAGGCAGCACGTGGTGCTCCCTTCTTCCCCAGCCAAGTCAAGACGCGCCTTCTCCAAAGCCGGGGCCAGTTTATTTTGGGCCCCGCAAAACCCCAGAAAGCGCCGCTTCGACAGCAAGAAATGACGGTTGGAATTAGACGACGCCTCCGGGTTTCCCCATTAATCGGGACTAGCACCACTGTTAGGCAAAAGAGAGGCTCATTTTAAAAAACGACGGTGGCGCAGGCTCTTCGTTCTGATGTGATTAGGATGAAATCTTTGCAGGGTTAAGACACTTTGTACACGCTTGGTGGTGGTCTTGTTGCCTGCCACATTCAGGGTTAAAGCATTGGATCTTGCTCGCGGGCTCAAAAGAAATCGCTTTCATAACATAGGACATAGCGGCAGCGTTGACCAATAAAGAGCAAAACCGCCCCAGCATAAAATTGTGGTAGCCGTGATACAGCAATAGAGTGGCCTGGGTTGCCATATGGGCAGTATACAAATCAAATACTATAAATATAAATAAGTAGGGTCAACAACACCACTGCTTGCGGGAAGCTGCAGTTTTAATCACTAAGTAACACTATCCATTTTGACACCCATCCACGCACCCATAGTGTCACTATATCCAGATATGTTAAAATAGACTCTACCTAGTGAATGCTTGATTTCCACTCAGCAAGGAGCCATGAATTAAGGTGGAAAAGACAAGACTAAAATGTGCAGCTGGACTTTTAAAGTTGTATTATTGGGGGATCAAAACTGTCTTTTTTCTTGTGCAAAGCAATTGAACACCAGCGAACAAGTCACTACAGAGCCACAATTGTTTCCTCTTCCTTGCTGTTCATCACACATTTAACTTCTGCAGAAGTTTGTGTCCCACCGGAATTTTACGTTTCACCTGCTGTTGCCCATAACATCTGCCATCTGCCACTGTGCAAAAATATACAGTAATAGCACAAACAGCAACTCTCTTGCTACTGAACCTAAAAGAACTGTATCTCCCCATAATCTTGTACTGGAATGGTACATGAGCAACACCAACAGCTAATGCACAACTATTTGTAGCGTTGAACGAGACTGGTACATACCACTGCGATCCCTGAACTGCTGTGGTCCACATTCTTTTAACAGATGATGATGATGATAATATCACCCTTCACAAATTATGTTGAGTGGGATTGTGTGGCAATATTCTGTTAGAGTTCCAGGCATTTTATGTTAAATTTTAAATGCTAAATTTCTTTAAATTATTGTTAACTGTTAAAATAAAAAATCATGGCCTTTATATTACAAAATGTATGTTTTTTTAAAATGAAGATCGTTCTTTTAAAGTGCCTTTTGAGTTCTTTCTCCCATCATTAAATTTCCATGAAAAGGCCAGGTCACATCTAATATACTAAACAACAGCTTCTCCAAAAATGGACCTTTACGGTATATAAAACAGCACCATCTACACAACGGGCTCAGGGGAAGGCCAGTAGTTGCAGGAGTACAAACAATTCTTCAGGAAAACGCTGGAGGAAAGGAATGTTATACAATGAAACACATCTTCTTTGCTTGACAGAATATCCTGTGCAGTTATTACATGTTGGATAGGTGTGCAGCAGGATTGCATTAATATAATAGCTTCTTTGCATGATGATGTAGGGACTGAAGAACAGGTGGATGCATTCCCACTCCTTTGAACTGGGTTTGACACATAAGCCTCTTTAACAAGATTAATGAATAAAGTCAGTTTACATCTTACACCAAAGCTCCTTTAAATATCTCTATATAGTAGCCACCACTACAGCTTCATTTAGTTAGGTGTGGCTTGTATTCATTGTGTCAGTTATGCAACTGCTAGCAGAATATCAGCAGTTGTAATTTCCCCCCAGCAGCATAACTTGGATACAAACCTGGAATGTATAAAATCTAGTGCCATTTCTTGAAGCATTTAGGATTTTTAAAAAAATTACAAACTAATTAAAATAATATTCTAATTGCATAGTTGCAATGCATTAAGCTTTAAATAAGGAACATGAATGAGATACTGATGAACACTGAAGTAGCTTTTAAACTGATACCCCAAGTTGTGAGCTGAGTAACACCTACAATTATGACATCAAAATAAAGACATGTACTTACTGTAGACGAGTGGACTGCCTAACCAAATGTCAAAATTACCCAAAGCAGCAGGGTTTTTGACAGAGCAAATACTATTTTAGATTACTTCCAATTTAGTCTGACAAACAACAGACACAGTAACAAACAAAAACATCTTTATTAATAATCACAAATGATGCATAGTTCTTGTAATGAAAAAAGTGTTGGGGGGAGAAGTCCCTGTGCATGCTTTTAGGACACCAAAATGCATCTTAATATTTGCCTTGGAGAGAAGGCAAACTTCACAGTGTAAAATGATAATGCTGAGTCTTTCCTATCACAAAGACATCCTTCTAACATTATCAGATAACCAGCAACTTTTCAGCAATGCTGAACAATGTCAAGTATTCAAGTAGGTTTGTGGTTTTTTTTTTGGCTGTGTAAAATTCAGTTCCCATCCCTACCCCCACAAACACAGGGTCCACTCACACATGTGACCTAAGACAGACAAGTATTTTTATTATGGTTAAACATCTCTAGTTGCAACTTCCTCTCCGAGAACAGATACTAGCTTCTTACTACAATAGAAACAGAGTCTTAGGAACTGCCTATTTTTTTAAATGACACCAACATGGCAAATAAACGTTAGAATAAATTATTCAAGGAGTAATCAAAGGAAGAAAGTGGTTTCCCACTGTTTCCAGCTATAGGCAAGAAAGTAAAGTCAGTACAGTCCAAAGTTGTGATTCTTTGCATAGTCTCCTATTTTGAGAAGGGAGAATGCATGTTTTAAGAGTGTGATTTCTGGTCCATGTGAACAGCAGCAGGTTGGAAGTGGCAACTAGATATTCACTTGACCCAGTAAATTCTACAGGATGTCTGAAGCAGTCACCAATTCAAACCACTGCCTGAGTGCATCACTGAGAGTCTCTGGGAGGGCATTTACATCTCTGAGAATGATGTAGAAGGGAAAGGGGAATTCTTCCATGTACGACCTTATTTCTGGCATTTCTCCTGGGTGTTTGAACACAGGTACTTTAATGTCCATGATGGAGTCCTGTAGATTAAAATGGCAAATTGAAGAATCAAATAATTATAGAAACAGTATGCATTTTCTTGTCTCCAAAGGCAAGGGAAGAAAATAAAGTTTTTTTTTAAAATAATGAAAATTATCAAGAGCAGCTCTGAGAGGACAACTGAAAGGATAATCTCTCCCTGCCTCACCTCCTACCTCCAAAAACTTACACTGCCTTATCTACTTGTGTCTAGACAAATTAGTAAACATCAGAGATACTGAATATGATTGTGGGTCTTTGCATGTCTCAGAATTTGGTTACAGAGAGTAAATGTTGAGAACAGTCCAAGCTAGACTCCAATGTAAAGGGACTTGTGCTCTTCTCAGTGTTGCGGAAAGATGAAGAAGAAATCATATCAGAATGGTGAACTAATCTGCAAGTCAGACAACACTTAACTGACTGGGCAAGTTTCTAGCCAGAGATAAACTAAACATTTATCAAGGAGATAAGAATCAGAAATCTCCATAGGCCTTTCTATCAGATTGTTCTATTATGAAGTATAAATACTTCTCTTTACTGCTACTACCTAAAAAGGGAAATTAATACATTTCTCATCAAACAGCATGTCATCATCATCATCTTAGAACTGCAGAGCTGGAAGGGATCCTATGGATCATCTAGTCCGGCACCTGTCAAAGAGGCCCAGTGGGGAGTCGAACTCCCAACTTCTGGCTCCAGAGAGATCTTATCACTGAACTGTCCAACAGTCCTTTTTCGCCCAAAGTAAAGGGAACACCACTCAGTTTTCACTCACCCTCGAATTAGGATTATCCAATGCTACAAAAATGATGAAGATGTCAGCATGCTGAACAGCCTGAACAGCTGCTGTCACACGTTCTTTGCCTTCAAGGAAAAGACCTCTTCCATCTGATACTATAAGGAGCAACTGGGCAGTTTCTATTAAGACAGGAATATTTTTAGTTTCAGCAGAATTCACATAAAATAGCCCATATTACAAACATTATATGCTTGGAGGTACACATAGATTCTAATTAATAAATCCATCTGAAAGTGAGTTCTGTTGACTTCTGCTCTGAATGAAAATCTAAGCAATGTATCCTACAAAAGACACATTTAAAACGGTTATGATAATCTACTCTGTAAGTAGTGAAAGAAATAAAGACCTGATTGAGATTACCTAGAACTCAAATATAACTGTCTATATTACTTATATTACCTATATTGCTTACTAACATTACTTGTTTATAATTACTATCTGAACTCGGCAGCATTATAAAGAAGAGCAACACTTGCCAAAAGTTCAGCGTAGAAACAGTTCTGGCATGGTAATAAACTTAAAAAAAAACTAAGATGAGAGACTAACCTGGATTCAGGTTTGGAGACAACTGCTGTGCTGCTGCAAACATATTTACTGAGGATTCTAAAAACTAGAAAAACAAGAGAATAAACTCATGAACAGAGAGTCAAAAAATCCATCCCAAAGTAGTGCTACTGAAATTGAACAGAAAAGTGAATTAAGCCTAAGAACTGCCTAAGAGTTAATATGTACTTTGGCCATATTATTTCCTTTTTAAATGACTGAAGCAGAATTATACTCTGCTGCTTCAATATAAACTGGATGGGGCAATAAATTAACTAGCTCAACAGCACCTCTATTTTCCTGCATTGAAGAGGGGAATCCTTGGATATCCAATCCCTCCAGAAAAAGTGTGTGTGTGTTTGTGTGTGTGTGTTTGTGTTTTTGGACAGACAGCAAGTTCTACAGTGGGGTCTTGACTTAAGAACGGCTTGAGTTAAGAACATTTTGACTTAAGAACCGCTCTCACAGGAAAATATTGACTTGACTTACATACTTAGATTTGAGTTAAGAACTGAAAAAAACCACGTGGGAGGCAGGGAAAGTGCAAAATGTGAACTTTCAGTTAACTGTTGGCCAGTGAAAAGGGTGCCTGTCTGCTTCCTCACTCCTCCCAGCGTTTAGAGAGTGGATTGGGAGACAGTCTTCAGACTGCCTGGTACTGAACTGCCTGGACTGTATTTTTCCTGCCTTCCCTAAACCTTTATTGACGTAAGAAAAAAAGAAACAAAATATCCCCCTCCAGTGGTCGAAGGCAGAATAGCAGCTTCCCATTAGTTTCTATGGACTGAAAAGAGCAGATACGGATCAAATGGTTTTCAATGCATTCCTATGGGAAATGCAGATTTGACCTGAGAACGTTTTGACTTGAGAACCGCCTTCCAATACGGATTAAGTTCTCAAGTCAAGACCCCACTGTATCTGCAAGAAAGATACTAGTTTTGGATACTTCTGTAGAAAAAGCAACCCATCCACTGCAGAAATTATCATATCTGTGGTGAGTAACCAACATTCTTTTTTCACCACCACAGCTAAATATATACATACAGTATATATATATATATAAAATCGGCATCTGTAAAAACGCTTGTTCAAAGGAGAACTTAAAATTGTTTTCAGAAAATTGAAATATTCAAATGTGCAAGAGGTATATACAAGGCCTTCTCAACTGAATGAACGGTGCTACAGTAGAATTGGACATACCTCAGCTATTCTGGTTTTCTTTTGTTCAAATCTGCAGTGCTGTAATATCCGGGCTCCTGATTGGTCACTAAATTGCTCATGGAATGGATGTAGTAGCTGAACTGTCTCTCCAAAACTGAAATAAAAGAAAACACACATTTTTAAATTGTGCATTGTGTGAGAGCTTAATTACAGGTATTTTGAAATTACATTTTATAAATGTTCTTACCTACATACAGCAATCTGCCCCACTTCTAAAAGAGCCAAAGCATTTCCAATCACAGCCAGGGATTCATAAGCAAGCTACAGAAAACGAGTTAAATCATGTTGAAAACCACTGTGTATATTCAAGCTAAGTATGTAACATTTGGCACCAAACGAAATGTTAACAGTTAAGAAACCACAAAAATCTAAAGGTACTTCCTGTTGAGCAAAGCCCCCTTTAAGGACTAAGAGATCTGATTCTATCATACAAACACCTCTAAGAAACTAGAGAACAGAATGACGTACCCCATTGCGCAATCTGTAATCTTTCCAGAAGTGACTATCTCAATTGCTGTGTGCCATGCGGAAATCAATACACTGACACTCATCATATTGCGGCCCACATATGAAACTCTTGCCCTCACTGCTAGCCCCGAGCTTGGAGTAGGCTCTATGGTAAGTAGCAGGTGGGAAAAGCGAACAGTGTCAGTGATACACCGGGCGGACCATCTCCAGCGGAATAGGGCCACAGGTCCCTCCCTGAAACTGGATGGGCTGGCCTGCTCCTCCAACGCTTATCTCCCCCTTTTTTCTTTCAAAATACACACACACACAGACACCCCTTTGTGGCAAATTTTATTACTTTTTAAAAATTTTGGGGACAGGTGTTGGGAGAACCAAAATGTAACGAAATTGTTTCTCTGTAACCCTTCCCCCAACAGACAACTAAACAAAAAATTAAGTGTGTATTTGGGGATGCTGGGAAGCTGCATTTGGGCTCCACGTTCTCAACTCGTGCACTATTATCAACTGAAGAGGGACAAAGAATAGTAGGAGATAGGTTGGTGCACCCTGAATGATCACAAGCATGAAACTCTAAAGGCAAATTATTCAAACTTGCAGTTTATTTTCATCATTTTTGTTTTACCTGCTTAGAGTGGTTGTCTATCATACTGGCTGAGTCATCAAGGGCTAAGCAAATCTGGTACTGTCGTTTGCTGGGCTTGGTCCTTCGTAACCAGATTTTATCTTTTCGGAATTGGCTGGCAATATAGGGAATCACCTTGCGCATGTTCAGTCTTTTCCCTGTTCTATAATCACCTCTAGTAATTAAGAAGAAAATACAAACTATTACCAGTACTGGCATGCAGTTAAATGTCATGTTTGGTGGGGGCGCAAGGGCATCGCAGAATAAACATTCTGAAGCAAATAGTTTACACAAAGTGGTTGATACAAACTGACAGGAATGAAGACACAAGGTTAAGTGACATAAGTGATATACTGTAGCCGCAATTAATTTCGTCTTCTGTACAGACAGATCCATTAATACTTTCATGTTAAAAATAATATCCTACCAACTGTAATTAGAATGAGCTCTGTACCCTGCACAAATTATAAAAACTAAATCTTCAGCATAGTATTTTCCATAATTTGTTCAGGTCTTGCTCTTCACAGTTTGACCAAATCCACCAAATCTCCTGCCCTCATCTTTGAAAATCATACATCTGTATCTCTGAAGACTTCAGCAGATATTACCCACTTACTTTCAAACTAATCTCTTGCCATAATGGTGAGAAACATTTCCTTGGAAAGTGAAAGCTGAGACTTTCAGAAATCTTAGTTCTGATCATGCTACACAATTACATACTTTTTCTACACATGTACAAAATCCAATCACACACACACACACACACACAACCATCAACACCAACTCTAGTTTTATACTGTAAAATAAGTGCTACTTTTAAGGCAGTACTATAGTTGTTTTACTTTTCCACAACAGACTAATAGAATTGCTCCTCTGATACCACTCCCATGGATTACAGTAGAAAGAAATAGACCCGTGTACAGTAATTCTTTACTTTTCAAAGCACTATTCAGAATAGAATACTATAATACGTATATAATAGCATATTATAACATAGGTATCAGAGAGTCCTACTTTAAGCATTTACACAGACCAAACTTACTTCAGTTTAGCTGCCTGAGTTGGCTCTAGTATAAGTCGCAGTTGTTCACATAGCTGTTGTGAAAGGGGTGCAGTAAGTAGATGATACCTCTGCCACATTTCTGCTGCTGCTTTTTCCTAAAACATTGACACACAAGGCAAAGTACACAAAATATATTACTAAAAAGTGAAAACGTGTTGAAGTGAAAAACGTATCATGGGAGCATGCAGAACACAAAATTATGAAATTACATGTGACATAGAAAAAACTTTTCTGAAGATGATAGACTGTTTAAGATGATAAACTATTTGTTTTTCAGTTCCTTTACTTGATTTTTCAATGTTTTAAGGTCAGTAAACTGAGTACCCACCTTGTGTGTGTGTGTGTGTGTGTGTGTGTGCGCGCGCGCGTGTGCGTGTGCGTGCGTGCGTGGGTGCGCGCGCGCTTTAAGCACTACGGGATGGTATATAAGCAGCACATTTTGAATATGTAATTCTCAGCTTCTGTGAGCAGCTGGTGGACATAATCCAGAATCTGGGGATTCTGACACTGCACCAATCTGAGGACAGCATGAAAAAAACACGATGGTATATAAGCAGCACATTTTGAATATATAATTCTCAGCATGAAAAAAACATATATGAACCAGATTAAATAATTCACCAACCTCTGCAACGTTTCCAGTCTTCCAGTCTGCTAATTGTTTCTCCAGTTCCCGTCTGAGCTCTTCTGGATTTTTAACAGTGTACTTAAAATGTAACAAATCATAATTGGAGTCAAACGATATAGACAGGTATTTAAGAAGAACTAACTTAGAATATACAAATATACCTCCAAAAGCAAACCTTAACTTCAATGTTTGCTTACTCTTGTTTCAAATATAAGAGCTGAATTAGCTTGTGAGGCAGGAAGCAGAACACAGCAATGTTTAGGACCACTTGAAAGCAACATTTAGAAAGAATCTGTTTTCCTTAATTAAATGATCTATGTTCTTACACATGAGAAAAAGAGCTATGGAATGTTAAAGTGTTGCTTGTCCCTCTATCCAGGTGTTTAAACATTGAATCAGCTAGTCTATCTGCGCTCAACAAGTGAGAGGGGTCTGCATGTAGATTGATGCTTCAGTGTGCATATACTGTAATAGGTCTGTTGTGGGCCTATGAGGCTGTCAAGTGTTGAAACAGCATGTGAGGATCAGCAAACTGGAGGAGGTTCCCACTTTCTCCAGGCACAGAATTATGGAGCCCTTCTTTCAGCACCGGAAAAGGGGGGTGGCCTTCCCATAGCATCTGGCTACCTCCCCTTTTCCGCAGGGAACCAGACTTTGCAGGCCTCCAAGTAAGTAACTTGCACTGTAAGTGTCACGAGTACCTGCCATACTTTGGACAGTCAAGTGCAGGCACCTCGTTGTTGTACATTTATTTTTAGCTGCCAAGTTATTTCAGCTTTGATATTAATGTTTAATATAAGGTTTTTTAATGTTTGTTATACAGTGGTGCCTTGCTTTACGATTGTCCTGTTTAACGACGAAACCGCATTATGACGAACTTTTTGCGATCGCAAAACGATGTTTCCTATGGGGGAATTTCGCTTTGCGATGATCGGTTCCCTGCTTTGGGAACCGATTCTTCGCAAAACAACAATTTTCCAACAGCTGATTGGCGGTTTCAAAATGGCTGCTGGGTAAACAAAATGCCCTCCTGCTCTTTTCTGGGACGGATGGAACAAATTAATGTCGTAATGCAAGGCACCACTGTATACTATGAAATGAAGGCAAAACTATTCCTACAGGCTATTTAGTAGGGTACAGCAATATGTGACCTCCATATTATTTTGTGCCTCCCTGCTGTTCCAAAATTCTGGAGGTAAAGTAACTCACATTTCCCCATGCAAAATAAGGTATGTGCCCCTAAAGGCCACTAAGACCTGGGGTAAAGGAAACCCTCCCTAAGGTATCAGTTACCTGCCTCATTCTCCATTCCAGTCTTTACCATGTGCTAATAGAACCCAAACACTTGATTCAGTACAAGATGAGAAAACTAAAACACAACTAATAGCAATGCTTCCCCTAGGTGACATTTATTTACAGTGATCCATTAGCACATTCTACTTGCTTTGTAAAGCAAATACTTGTTTACCTGGATGGTGGTATCTTTCAAGAACTGATGGGCAGTATGTATAGTGGAATCTTTGTTTCTGTCCTGCTTTACTTCTAGTGGTGATTTATCTTCTCCACGTTCTTCCTCCTCTTCGAAACTGAGAGCTTGGCCATCCAATTCCACCTCCTCAGATCCTGAAGTTTAACAATACCCATTTGTTTAATACTGTATTTATTTATTCCAGCTGATTACTGCACAGATACTCCTGAGATAATTCTTGAAAAAAGCAAGCTGACAATTTACCAGATTTAGAAGCATCAGACATCTTTACTTCTGGATTCAGTTTCTCTGCATCTGCTGCTCTCAGATCCTCAATGGTCTGAGATTCTGTTTCCATAGCTACATCTTCAGAAGCTGGTTCTTCATTGTCTTGATTAATAGGCATAGTCTTTTGTTGTTCTTCAGTAGCTACATCTGTGGAAACATAAAAAACACCTTACATGTCAGCATGCTAATGACCATCAAATATCTGGTGTGTCACTTATAACTGGATATGAAGAAGAGGGGAGCAACAGAGGCAAGTGAGATGTTGTAATTCTTGGTATTTATCAGTATTACGGGGTGCTGAAACTGCTCCACAGGCATTATCTTACCATGTATTATTTATTTATTTTATTTATATACCACCCCAATAGTGCAACCAATATTCTATGCGGTTTAACTGCTCCACAGGCATTATCTTACCATGTAATGTATTATTTATTTCATTTGATTTATATACCACCCCAGTAGTGCAAGCAATATTCTACGCGGTTTGCAAGTTAAAAGTTAAAACCCCACATAATAAAATACATTCAACGATACAGTGATTCACAAGGATAGATCTAAAAACCATACTAAAAATTAGCAGCATCTGGGAGGACAATAAGATGATGATGATGAGGAGGAGGATTATTATTTTGCTAAGAATCACACTGTAGCTAGCAAAGACAAGGGAATGCCCACATTATACGATGCCTTGGCAGAAAAACAAGCTTTTCATCATTAAGGTGATTTCAGCAGAAATCCACACTGAATATAAGAATATTTAAGTTTTATAAACTCCAACTATCATTCAACTTGGGTTTCACTGCAAGAGATTTATAGAAAAATTAGAAGCTGGACAACAAACATTCTAGAGGAAGGACATCATCTTTAAAACCACTTGATGGCTATTGCTGATCAAACTACAACACTACTAGAGATCTCTTGTCAGTTCTGCTCCCAGGACTCTATGAACTTATGGATTACAGAGTGGGCAGTGGAATATCACAAAGCCGGTAGATAGATAACTAAGAATTACTTTTTAAAACAGCTTTCATTTTGTTTCAGAACCAAGCAACTGCTAAAGACAGAATCTTTAAAGGCATAATCTATTAATATGTGGGAAATCTGGCTGTCTATCGGGCTTAAGACACTTAACTGTAAAAATCTATGATTGTTTATCAGCATGGTTAATGGTATCCCATCTTCAAAGTAAGCATGTGCAAGATTACCTAGAACAATTTCCCCAAAATAAAAATGCAGTGCATATGAATATAACAGGTATGTCTAAAGACTGTCCCTATGGTAAACAATTTCCATTGTGTATACTAAAATAAAGCAAGCATGCTTGTGTTCTTTAAAAAGAAGGTAAAGATAGTGCTGGAGCAGATTCAGAACAATCTGTTTTCTGAACATCATGTTGTGAATGCTGACATACCATAGGTCTGGGCATCATACGATTCACAGCCTTGCTTAATGTGCTCAAAGGCATCAGCTTCTCCCACATTTTGTTCTGGCTGTTCAGAAACCTGTTCTGTGTCGCAGCTGGACTCTATAGTTCTCAAACGCTTGTGAATATGTTGGCTATGGTCTCCTGTAGAGCGCTCATTGTCGGCTTGTCTGGGTTTTCTCTTAAAACTCTGAAAAAGAAGCAAACAAACAGCATTGTGAGGTGGAGTTAATTTGAGAATATGCTGTGCACACAATTCAGTATTCAACATACAGCCCCTCCTTTTTCAAAATCCATTTGTTATGGGGTGGGGACAGTGCAGGACACGATCTGATTCAGTAGAGAGCGATTCTGTCTTGTTGCTGCTTCAATCCACAATTTTCAAATTCGCACCAAATGTTTACTTAAATATGAATTTAGATACAGATTTTAAAATATGCCATTACGAAGGCAATATGATGCTGTTTTTGAGCTGAAAATTGTGCCAGAACACTCAGAAAGCATGAAAGACGGTGGGTAATTAAGTTCCAGTCTATACTTAATCCAGAAGGTGCAGGTGAGTTCTTCTTTTCTTTTTTTTAAAATGAGTCTTAAATTTTAAAATAAGAATGACCAGTCTATACTTAATCCAGAAGGTGCAGGAGAGTTCTTCTTTACTTATTTTTTAAAAAATGAGTCTTAAATTTTAAAATAAGAATGAAAAACCTGTGTATTTTTCCGGCTTTGTTTCTGCAGTGCCAGTCGTGCCATTAACTCAGATTCATGCCCTTCGGACTGATTTGCATCAGCAACTCCACTTCCATGTTCCTGGAGTGGGGCAAAAACAAAATGCTAATTTAGCAGCTAAAATGTGACACCAAAATCCTAGGTTTAAGCAAGGCAAAACTGAGAATACAGAGGCATGCTAGGCTGCAGGTTTGGGAACAAAACTGAATGTCAGATTCCAATCTTGTACTGCAAATGTCTTGCAGACTACTTGCCTCATTTTAAAATGTTGTGACTGTAAGCTATGTTAAATACATTTATGCAAATGAATGCTCATGTCAAATGCAGCCTTTTCACTTGTGATGGAGTAAATTTCTCTTATGCCATTAAATCCTTACTTGAAGCAAATTGTTGAGAGAGAGAGAGAGAGAGAGAGAGAGAGAGAGAGAGAGAATAGTGTCAAAGAAAAGCCTAGAAAGGCCAGTGCTTTAAACATTTTTGGAAGAACCTCCTGCACAAAACAAAAGGATGGTGGTGCTTTTCCATTTCACCTCTTTGGCCTGGTCCTTCTCAGCAGCCATTCCTGCCAGCTCTACAGCAGTATCGCTCTGCAGGTTCTCCTCTCCTGCCTCCCCATATGCTTCATGTTCCATTCTCTCGGCAGCATCAGGTAACTGGTCCTCCTCATTAGAATTATCCATATCTTCATTTTCCTGGAATAAGATTAATCAGTATTGATATTTTAACATTTTAGGCTTGTGATATAGTTTTGTACTAAATCCAGTTGCCTTTATTGAAATTTTAACCTTAAGCTGCCTGTATTCTTCAGATGTTCATCTTAATGTAAAAATAACATTTATACTGTATAGCCTCTATTAATAAAAGACATAAACCTGAGGATTAAGGCCGTGGTCAGTTGTTGGAATGCCCCTTTCATTCTCTTCTTCAGGGGAGTCTTCTTGATTGTCTAAAGCTTCTTCTTCTCCTCCTTCTTCACCTGTCTGTGGATCAGGGTGATTGGTGCTTCCATCTTCCTTCGGTTCTTCTTCCATTTTATCATCTTCACTTTTTTCTTCACAGGACTCGTTTTCAGCTTTCTCAGAATCTGGACACCCTTCATCTGTGTCTTCAGCATTTTTCTCTGTCGCTTTTTCATCAACCTCTGTGGTCTTCTCTTCAATCTCAAACGGGTTTTCTCCTAATTAAAAAAAAACATAGCTTTCAAAAAAGAGATAACATGTGTGTGTGTGATTCAGGTAGATGCAGAGCTGGTAGAAAAGGAGAAGATGGTTTGCTAGATTTTTAAGTTGGAAGGTTAAAAAAAACTGTACATTTTAAAATGTTACCTTTACTTCAAGTTGCATACATTGTCCAAAGCAGTAAGGTGGAATGGCCAACCTCCTGAGGCTCAAGAAATGGACACAGGCACCCCTGAATCTTGGAGAGCCATATCCATTTCCATTCCACACGCACACACATGCACGCACACACACGCGTGTATGTGCGTGTGCATGCATTCATTGCATGAGCCATTGCAGTTGTGCACCTTTGCTTGAAATGTCACCGCATTAGTTGCTGGCAGGTATCTGGAGCCCCCAAAGTCCAGGAGGAAGACACTTGGTTGCTTCCCATCTGTCTGTAGTGAAAACTACAGAAGCTACACGGCTACACGAGAAAGCACAAACACTTGCACAGCTTTCCACACGTGAAAGAACTGCTTGTGGAAATTTGCTTAGGACCCCACGCTTCTGTGAGGGCCATAGAACTACAACTGCTCACGCAATGACACAACAGGATCATGCCACAATATTTTGTATTCTGTTATCTACTAATAAAGAAACAATTTGATCAGTCGCACCTTCTTCTTCCTTGTCCCCATCATCCTTCTCTCCATTTTCCAGGTTCAGGTCAGGAGGAAGATCTAATGGTTCAGGTTCAGGATGTTTCTCTTGCTTTCCATGATAGGGATCTACCTCATTTTCATCATATTCACGCTGTTTATGTAAAGGAAATGACACACCATGAGAGAAATAACAGTGGAAAAAAATGTTTAAAAACCTGTAGTGTTACTCTTGAAATTCAGTTGCAGGTGCAAGGGCTGCTGCAAACACTCATAATTACCTCATCTATTTGTTCATGGATTTTCTCTCTTGCTTCACCATCCTCTGCTGGCTTTTCTTTTTCATCATCTTTGGGTGGATTTTTATCATTTTTATTGTTAGCATCCACATTATCATCTTTGGCAACAAGTTCTGAATCACCCTAAATCATTTAATAAACAAATAAGTATCTACGGAACCCTTCAACGGCAAACATTCCCATCGCTAATGTAGGCGAATAATTTCATTCAGCATGATTTCAGATTAACTCATCACAAAAGTCTAACTCAGAGATAGACAATATGTGGCTCTTCAGGTGTTGCTGAACTGCAACTCCTACCATAGACAGCACAGTCAATGGTAAAGGATAATGGGACTTGTATCCTGGCAGCATCTGGAGGACCACAAGTAGCCGATCTTTGCTTTAGTTATTATTAGAAGACAGGCTGCCCCTCACTTTCATGCAGCAGTGGACTACAACAGCTTCCCATAGCCCAGTCTCTTTCCAATTCTGAGCACACCAAGTAGAGATGAAAGACGCGTGCCATCATCAATGGTAGCAAAATAGCTCACAGTAAAGATAATGTATCAAAATGGTTAAAAAGTAAAAATGTAAAGATCATAAAAGAGGTAGAATCTTGAGTTCCACTTATTGTGCAAATAATATTTACTATAAAACCTTTACTCTGGATCACATTTTCATAGATGTTTTTACCTCATCTACTCCTGGTCCTGTTTCTGTTACATTCTCCTCATTATCGCTTTCATCTTCCTCTTCTTCATCATCATCATCATCATCCCCCCAAAGCCTCTCATCCAGTTTGTCAGCTTCAGAGTCTCCAAGATTTCCCATTTGTTTATCTAAATCTTCATCCTCATCTGATTTTTCATCATCATCTATATTTTAAAAAACCAGACACACAACCCAATGCAAAACCTTCAAAATTAGGAACATATACTCCAATTCATACAACAACTACATCCATTGATAAACATGGCACTACTGCAGTGACACATGGAACCCCTGGGGGAGGGGCTGGAGCTCTGTGGAAGAACATGGACTTCGGAGTTCTGTCACTTGTCAATGCCTGCAGCAACCTCCACCTCCCCAAGGAAATGTTTAGGGTTTCTAGCAGACTTTTTTCAGCTGATACTCTGACAAGAGTTTAATGTGTCAACAGTAAGTACACTTTATTGATTCCAAGAGGCCAAGCTGATTAAGCTGAACCTTAAAACCTCAAAAACAGCCTTAGCAAAGTGAACATTTTTGTGTTGGTTCATATCAGGACAGAAAAGTTAAACTTATAAGCCCAATACCTTGCTTTTCTCTCTCCCCATCATATGTTTTTCCTTCAAAATCCTCTGACATTTCAATTGCATTATCTTCTCCTTTAATATCTGTTTTAGATTCTGGATCTTCATTGTCCTTTTCTTGATCCTTTTGGTAAGTATCTTCTACCTGAAACATTTAATTAACAATTATTGTAGGTCGAGTTTTCCCCTCTAGCATTTCAGCTAAATAATGTTAACACTAAATCAGAATGTTACTTCAGAATGCAGTAATTATTTTCCTAATTAGAAGTAAGTAAGTGAATTTTATCCATCAGAATCCAACACTTTTTATCTGTGAAAATTCTCAATTATCCAGGTGAGGTTATCTAGAAGTTGAATCATGGCAACCGAACTTCTTTCTTGTTAGGTTGAAACACTTCATTACTCATCCAAGTGAATGAACTTGGCTGAATAGCAAAAGGCTTCAACCTAATAAGAAAGAAGTCCAGTTGCCATGACTCAACTTCCAGATAATCCAACACTTTTCTTTTTCTTTAATGAAAGACTGTTGAAAAGGAATTACTCTGAAAATCATTTAACTACAGTATTATAAGCAAGTGACACAGAAGCCTCTGTTTAAAAAATATGCATGCCTATTTTTGATTCTGCCCATGAATATTAAAACCCTCCATAATGTCTTATTGTTCATTAATTATGAGCATACACTTCAAGCAAGGTCTGAATCCCACAAACCCACTTGGGTGCCTTTTCTACATACCTGATCTTCATTCTCTATCTTGTCACTCACATCCTTTTTGCCTTCCCCTTCTCCAAGGCCACCTCCTTCGTAATCATGGAATTCTGTTCCTCCCTCTCCTGCAGTATCCTCCTCCATTAGCTCTTTTGGCAAACAAAACCCCTGATAATGATAAAAACACATCCATTTGGAAAGATTTTCACACAAAAAAGCACTCCATGGTACTTTCCACTGGTGTTTACTCTGGCTGGTGTGTGGAGTGTAGCCAATTATTTTATGCATTCTCCCATGCAAAACAAAGAATGATACATTTACAAACAACCTTCAGAACACGGCCAAAGAGCCCGAAAAACCCACAACAACCATTAGATCTCGGTCGTGAAAGCCTTTGTGAATATATTGTGTACTGATTATTGATAACTAAATCAATCACCATATAACTAAAGTATCCTTGTATTTTACCTCAATAAAGCCCTATTGTGCAAACAGTACAAAAGGCAACTATTCATTCACTGCACAATCTATGTACGTTTTTGAAACCTGGTTCTTGTAGAATTTTTTTTAAAAGAAAAGAAGACAGCTTAACAGCGTACATTTTGGGCTTATTACTCTTTATCCTACATAAGAAGCACCTTCTACAATCAATGTTGTTTCAAGGGCTGTTTCAATTATGCCTCTCTTTAAAACGAATGACTGGATACAAAGTCAGCAAGATGCAGTAGCGGACGAAATCATACAGTCAGCATTTTTGTTTTAAAATGTTGATAGCATACATAAAATAGCAAAATATGTATAGATTAAGACAGTGATGATCACACACTGGAGTCTATCCTACTTCATCCAGACCATTCTTTAAAAATACTCACAGCTACTGAGAACATAAACGGGGACTTCTTACCTTTTGGGCAAGTTCAGTAAATATGTTAGCTAGAACAGAAAGCAACTTCCCCGTACTCCTATGTGTGGCCAAGGAAACAGTGAGGTAGAAGAGGATGATATTGGAATACTTGTTTAGTATTGGCATTAGACGCACCAGTAAGTGGCAGGCTTGATTGAAAACCTGCAGACATAAAGAAAGAAATCAAGTGTATATTTAAAATTAAGGGAGTGGTTGTTTTTTAAAGACACAGCAAAAGGTATCCACAAAAACCTTCTTCTAATGGGTAGCTCTTAAAAAATAAAGTGTGTAGAAATACAATTTTAAGACATAAGAATTGGGTTTTTGTCATTTTTACCACTTTGCTTCCACCAGCCCAGCTAAGGTTACCTAAATCTGGACCCAATGAAGGATGTTTCAGTTGATCAGTTTTTACCTTGCACTTGTATGCCGTGTAATCCTCGCCATAGGATTTCAGTTGCTCCAGGAGTTCTGAAATGACTGAAATTATTTTCTGCACATGTAAAGAAGTCACATCTGCACAGATATCTTCGTCCAAGAGTTTGGTCAGGTGCCCTTTCCTGAGCCGGTCCACTGAAGCTTCTTCTCCTGGAGTAAAGAGTTTAAAAAATGTGAGAAGAAGTATATGACTAAGGGCAAACTGAATGGAAAAAATTTCCAAAGACTTGCTTCAATTGGTTCCATAGACAGGCCACTAATTCACTAATTCATTGCTAACGTTACCAAAGTTATTTAAGTTCTGCACTTAGTTACAAAGAGAAAAGATGTCTGAAAAATTGAGGAATACTTGAAAAGCATGACATTTAGACTCACTACTCTCATTCAGGGAGGTTTCGTCCTCTCTTTCCTTTCTTCTTTCTACCAGACCTTGTATAGCACTCAGGACAGCTTGGATTGCCAGTTCTATTTGTTCTGAGAAGAGTTCTACAAATCCATCATCTGGTCTTCTGTCCCCTTGGGAAATACAACAGAGATATTAGCTGGGAATGTCCTTCGTTTCTACAGCACCTGAAAATCCATCTAGTCCCAGCAAATACAATTTACCTGCTTCAACAATAAACTCAAGACGGGCAAAAGCTGCGAGTTGAAAAATGAGTTAGAAAATGAGGCTAGTTAAAGAATGAAACTGAAATGAGGGGAACTCTAGACCTTCCAAGTTGTATTTTGAACCTGCTGAAGATGTAGTCCCACAATTCTGAGGACAGATGGCAACCAGGCTACAGGATACAGTAACAAATGCTTGCTTCTTTAGGAAGCAAAACAGGAGGATTATTTAAGCATTCCCACAAACAAGGCTAGCACATTAACAGAAATTGGAAAATGTCTCCTAGTTAAACGGGTATTTTTGTGCTAAATGAAGAATATCCTGGTTTCTCCTGGGAGGCTGGAGAGTACACAGTAGTTGCATAATTGAATGCAAGAAATGCTTAGGATGTCAAAATCATCAATTTTACTGCACTTAGTTATGCACGCAAATATATGCAGCTGACAAGAGAACAATACCCAAATGAACAGATCTAGTCTTTTATCTACTGGAAAGGTAAGGATTGTCTTTACCGTCACAGTGTGAAATTGAACTGAACAGCTGTGTCTTCCAGATAGCAAAGTCATCAACACTCTTATTAATTTCTCCTTGAATATATATGAGACTTCTGATCAATGCCATTTGTGGTACAGCTTGACTGGCTTCCAATTCAGGTGGAACAAACAAGGACTCCATATCTTGAAATTCAATTGAAACCTTCAATAAACACTCAATCCCTGTAGAACATACCTCGAAGCTTTTCCTGCAAAACAGAAACTACATTTTAACCAGTACATTTCCTTTTAAAACACGTGGAGCCTAAACTTAAATGCAACATGCCATTTCTAATACATTCATTGGAGTTCTAAGTTCGGAAATGTAAGCTTAATTTACATATTATACTAAACCATGCCTTCTGGTCTGATGAGCTGAACACAAATAAATGGGACCATTTCCCTCATTTCTGCTCTGATTTGTTTTTTTGTACTGTATCTTGTGTCTTTTCCCAACTCCTGTTTCAGGAAGCAGTTGGAGAAACATGCTATAGGAGAAACCACAATTACAGGTTCAGACAAACAAAAAGCCATGGTTTAAACAATCCAGAACTTGAGAGCTAACAACAAACCACAGTGTCTAACTAGGGTATGCAGATAGCTAACAAATCATGGCTTGTTTACAAGAATAATATTGGACACAGCAAGCCAGAATTCAACAATAACTCAGTTTAGTGTTACAGTGTGAATCCTGTCATCTTTTATATAGTAAAGCTTCTAATAAATACAGTGTTTATCTGTCTGTTTCTACCAGATCTCCATGATTATGGAACCTACACTCCTTAAACTTGGCATGTATTTTAAATGAACCCTAAGCATATACCTCTCTCAAAGTTATTTTGTGTATGTAAATGGATTAATTAATTTAATTAACATTCAGCCCTGCATTGAGCTACTAAGCAGCAAGTTTTCCTTACTTTCTCTGATGGGCACAGACAAAGTTGCAGAAATGCCTGGAATATTCATTTCTGTAGATGGCCTCTAGATAGCTCTATGTCTTGACTCCCACTGCAGGGCCCTCAAATGCTTTTAAACAGTTAGAAGGGAAGGCAGAGAGACCAAACAGGGAGAAATGCTCAAAGAACAAAGAGTGCAACAAGGAAGGAAAAGAGTGGAGCACAGGGAAGAGAAGGTGCACCCATATGACAAATGCAAAGCAGCCTACTCCAAGAACACAAGGTCTTGACTCTGTCCTCAAGTACCGCATGTAGCTGAGGTGGATGCCATGGTATTCAGGAGGGCAGTTCAGTATGACTCTGTGTTTAGGACATAAGGTTCTAGTGAACCAATCACCTCTTTCAGACATAATGAGGGCAGATGGCAGGCCTCACTTAGCTCTCTGAGGGACAGAACTGTCTGCAGCAACCATCCCTTCAAAGACTGCATTATCTCTGATCCACAGAGTAGAGTGTGATCAGGCAGCAAACACGACCCACTTTCTCCTCATTATTACAATATGCATGTTACTTACCAAGAATGGAAGAGAGTCTCACAAGACTGCTGTCGTATTCTGTCCACTTCCGATTTTATTGCCTTAACTTCCACCAGCATCTCCCTCACTTTTGAAGCCAGTTGTTGATGCAATGAATTGTGTTTTCGCATCTTGCATCCAGCAGGCAGCTGATCTGCAGCCACTGGAGTGAGATACTGTAACTCTGGAGAGTTAAGCTCAGGTAGCGATTTCAGAAAACTAGATAAATTCACTTCAGGTCCTTCAGACTGCATTTCTGTCCTGGGAACATTCAAGGATTGGTCTTTTGGACAGCACTCCAGAAACCAGGAGAACTGCTCCAGGACCACTACACATTGCATGGCCAGATACTGCAATCTGTCAGTCCACTGCTGAACACCATCTTGAGGAGGGAAGGCTACTTCATATTCATTGCTAGCATTCAGCCTGGCATCAATCTCCTGTACACAGCTTAGAAGATTTCTGTTCAGGGGATTCAAATGCGAAGAGATTTGTTGGCAATCAAAGCAAAGTTCAAAGAGGAGCAAACCATGTAAATCCGTTGCAACAAATACAACAAATAGTTGCTACACCATAGAAACAGTTAGGGTATACTAGGGATAAATTTTCAAGAATGGCCGTGTTCGTAAGAACATATACCAAATAAAGCAAATTAGTCTTTAATATTCCACACAGCTATGTTGTTTTTAAAATATAATTGTTTCAGCTCAGTTAGCATACTTGGTCATAACATTTCCAAATGTTGATTTTCTGCAGGGGTGATATGCTAATTGTTTATGTAATTCATTATGTATCCTATGAATATACTAATCATCCGTTATGCTCTGAATTGTAAAATAACTTTAACATTTATCTGGAAGTCTGTGCCAGCATTTCTTGGGTTCTTTTTAAGAAGAAAAGTGGGAGAAAAATATTTTAAATAAACAACAAACAAATAATTATTTCAAGTGAATCAAACATATCAGCAGTAGTGTCAGGCTCTTAACTATGCTACACAATTACAAATTTACTACTTCCAATCTGTAACACAGATTGAACTAAGTGTGTTGCAGCAGGATTCATATTCTAGCAGATTATTTGTAATCTGCTCTGTCTTTCTAAGGACATTGGCATGTAAAATAATGTGGTTGGATGCAGACTTCATATTCTACCAATGGAAAAGCTGCTTCCACCCATGGTAAGTTGGATCCACTGAAGGGTCCTGATGGCAGAGCAGGAAGTGTACTGCATCTGCAGACTTCCCAGTACCACTTCCCACAATGATTCAGAGGGTCTCATAACTTTCCAGAGTAAAAGTTTGGAGGGTGCAGGAGACTGCAGAGTAATAGGAAATCTGCCCGCAAAGTCCAGATCAAAGCCATTACATGCTAATAAAAACTACACGAACAAATGGACAAGGAATTCCTGCTAACTTTCTTTAACAATGGTACAAACTGTGAATATGCCAATTATTTCAGCAGCTAAATATTTGCTCATAACAGAAGCTTTCTCTGAAAGCTTCTGTTACAAGGTGCAGGCAAACACTTGTTTTGCAGGACTAAGATTTAAGTATAATGCCCTCAAGATATTAATGCAATCAGTGCATCAATGCTTCACCATAAATTAAAGAGACAGAACAAAGAGAAGCTTCATGGTTACTCTTTAAAAGACTACAAACTTGGACCCAGAAGATTATGGTTTACATCTACTCAAGCTGTATGCAGTCTTTCAACAAGGTGCCTGAATACATTCAGAAGCAACAGAGGAAGGTATGAAGTCAGGGACGGCTTAATGTATGTGCATGGCAGTAGGCCAATCTTGACATACCTCTGAAGTTTTAAGTATTATACCTAATGGGCTTGTCTTGGGGGTTTCTGTCTGAAACAAAGCTTAAGAAATTTACTTTTTGGACTACACCTTCCAGAATCGCCAACCAAGGGCCATGGTGGCTGGTGGCTCTGTGAGTTGTACTCCAAAAAACCCCCCGTAACTTTTCTAATCTCTACATTATCTTTGCAAATGGTTTTTCTCATTCAGGATTCAGCTGCCTTCTTCCTTTCTCATGACCTAGAATGAGCAAAAGAAAGAAGAAGAAAAAGAACTCCACTACCTCAGGAAAACCCACTGCTCTGTCAAAGCTGTAAGAAAGTTCCTCTGCTTAACAAGCGTCTTCATGAGATGTGCGGTGAATCCTCTGCATCTCTCAACAGTGCCAAGGCCAATTTCCTGTAGTGACACAGAAACAGCTTTTACCTTTGGGGTTGCAACCAACACCACCCTCTACCTCTGTTCGATAAAAGCACCATACATTTGCTACCAAGAGCTGAACGAACACACACACACACACACACACAGTCACTTAAAATAATTCCCAATGTAGCAAACAGTTACATTTTTTAAGCAGTGTGGATGACAAAGACTAAATCTTCTGAATTCAGAAGGGAAAAATAGATGCTCACACTAGTCTTCCAATTAAGCCCTTTTCAAATTCATGTGTTACATGAATGACAAGTATTGGGACTTGTCTGGTTAATTTTCCGGTGAAGTAAAACACTTGTTTTCCAACCAGCTAGTAGACATATATACATTAAATGTCACATATGCCTGGTCCCCATCTTGTGTGGGACACATTTCAGACTGTAGAATGAACCTAATCAAATCTTACAGTACAATGGTTTATTCAGCCCAGACAATTAAGCTTCTCAGTAATTTACTCCCATTTTGTTAACTTAAGATTAGAGATGGATTCATATTCATCTCCCCAGGGAGACAAATAAGAATACTGCCACCACAGGTAGCCCAGCTAATGGGACCCTCCCCCCCCCCAAACTGGGCTGTCCACTTACCGCTTACGGCATAGTTCGAGTGGCCATCATCATTAGTGCCATGCCAATCATGTAAGTAGCCAGGCTGGGGCTTCCCCGCCTCCCTGTGCTGCTGACCAATCCAGTAAGGAGGCAGGATGACGGGTCTCCCTGCTCAGCTGCTGAGTGATCAGCCGCGCGGAGAGGTGGGGAAACACCAACAGGGCTAATTCTGCAACTGGCATGGCACAAGTAACGGCCACTACACACTTTGGTGGCAATATTCATATTTATCCCCCCTGAGAGACGAATACAGACATCCCATCTCTACTTCAGATCTATAATATGGCCAAGTATAAATATGAAGGAGAAAAACCATGCTTGATTTAAATAAAATAATTAAACAATTTATTCTCGAAAATGACTGATCCTGACTCAATCATTCAAAACTTTCTTTAAAAAAAAACAAGGTTAAGCAAAAATGTGTACTTCATCCGAAATTTCTCTTTTACCTTTGAAGGTGCTACTAATGCTGTCTGAAGCTTACAGTGACGTGCAAGGGATTGATAGAAGTATTTCTGGCATCCATCCCAAGATGAACAGATCTCAGAGAGTAACCTGGAAAGTACAAGACCTTTATTCCTCAAGACACTAACTTAAGCAACTTCGAAGTCTTTTCTTTTTTTTAACATGGTGTGACCACACAAATTCAAAGTCTCTCCTATGCTCTTAGGCAATCTCTGCCAGATTTATTTCCATCACATACTTAAAATATCAATTTGGTAACTGCTACCCAAAGCTAGAAGTACTAGTTCTAACACGAAAACAGCTTTTTATTTCCCCCCCCCCAGCAAATGAAATAAGTTTTACTGGGAATTTGCTTCACACTGTAAACAGCTGGAGGGATTCAGACTGAGACTCTATGGTGGGGGGGGCATGAAAGCTTAAAAGTCCCATCCCCAAACTTTTTTTTTAAATGATCAAGCACAGACACACCTAATCTGGTCTTAAAGTTTCCTAATTGGATTTAATACCATTTTAGAAAAGCTCATGGACCATTTCTTCCCAAATTTCTGGCACGAGAAAATACATACGTGGCGTCCACTTTGTGTGTGCAGTTGACTAGAGCTAATGCACAACGTAAATCCAGGGGATGAAGGAAAAGCAGATCCTGGGATGTTTTTGAACGAGACCAAGCCAAGCCTTTGCGATAGGATAATCCTGGGAAGACATGGGAAGCAAATGGAATATTTTAAACTCCTTTTGAGTTCTGTATTAAAATAGATATTTTCTCTTCCTTTTCATTAGTATTAGAAGTACCAAGATAAGCAGACCTTTACCACTGTTGGAGGAGTCTTCCTTCTATAGCTTTATAGAAGCACTATACAAATTCTATTTGAGGTCTAGTTACAAATAACTAGAGCAAAACAGTTAATTCCTTTTGCAATTCTAACAGAAGCTTACTCAGACCATTTTGTAATAACAATTCCATAGTTTAAATAAAGACCAAGTGGCTTAATGCCATCTTACCTGTAGCTGCAAGGTTTTTAAAGAGCTCCGTTAGGGCTCTTTGTTTCTGCACAAATAAATGTTTGACTTCTGACCTCTGTTTTTCCTTCTCTGCTGTGGGATTCACAGACATATTTTGCAACTCATGGGCAGAAGAAATAACATCACCTGCAAAAGGAAAGGAGAGCAGAAGGAATACGGTACATGAAGCAATAAACTCAGCATATTTATTGAAACAAATTCTTGTCGAGAGAAGGATTTTGAGGAAAACATTTTTAGAACCGTATTTTTTGCCCTCTGAATTTTATCGTGCAAATTCACTGAGTTTCAACTGTCTGGGATTGAAGAGCTGAAGAAAAGTATATTCTGTTATCATCATCTAATAATAATAATAATATCATCCTCCTATGTTATATTGGTAGGTTTGGTGTGTACATAATTTAACTATCCATCTTAAGTTGCCCCGAGAGTCATTTGATCAAAAGGAGGGACTGCCATTTTAAAAATACACAGAACAATACATGGGTATGTTTCTTGCACTTACCAGTAAAATTATCTAGATTCTCCACCAGGTCCAAAAATGAGTTGTTTTTCACTAGAGTTGTGCATATCTTCCTCATTCGCTTTGTGAGTTTGGGTAAGCGGCCCTGAAGAGATTCTGGCTGAAACACATCTCTTTCTGGTTCTTCTAAAAGAAAAGCCTGGGAAAATATCCATTAACTGAGCACTCAGTGTAACTAAAATCCTTTTGCTACTAATAGACACAAGATCCTCAAGTATAAAGAGGTGTCACTGGAGACCAAGATCATTATTGCATTCCTTACAATTCCTTACATTATTGCATTACAGTGGTGCCCCACTTGACGATGTTAGAACAGACTCATAGGTTTATTAGCTTCAGGACTAAAAAGGAAATCTCATATGCAACAAAGGGGGGATGGCAACCCTCCCGGGGAAAGCTTGCTGGCACTACTGGGAAGAGATTCCCATATCAGAGTATCAAGTCTTAAGTAAATCTGTATTCACACACAACATCTGTATTACTAGATAAGCCAAATCATGAACAGCGCAAAGTAGAGAGAACATTTTTTGAAACTGATGGAATGGGGCAACATGTCTGATTTCTTCCCAAAGGAATCAATTCCTTGAATACAGAAAATTACACTGTTTAATGAGAGGGTTAAAACAGTGTCCTTCTCTCAATATTATAGTTTACTACTAGTAAGAGGTTTTTTGTTTGTTTTTTAATGTGGGAGAATATATAAACCTGTAATGCTGCTTCCAGACCTACAAATGCTATTTCTCCTCTGGAGCACCTGGCGTGTGCATGCTTTCAGATGAGCCCTGAACAATCATCATGATCTTTGCTGGATCTTCTGCTATAACATACAGCTAAGAAGTCATTGTTACAGTTAAGAATATTCGGATATATGGACAGGGAACTTGACACGCAGAATACCAACCTTCCACTGGAAGGCAAATAATAAGAACTCTGTATTACCTGAGCCATATCTGTTTTAGCTGTCAGTTTTTTCCTTAATATGTTGGTCAGGTGCTGAATTTTAGTTTCTTGGTTTTCTGACGTCTCTTGTTTCTGCAAGGAAATGAGCTGTTCTTCTCTGGCTATTTCCACGAAGGCAGATTGGCAGGGTTCACTGAGAGCAGTTTCAAATTTCTTTATAAATTTAAAAAGTGTCCTAGGTCCCACAAAAAAGACATAGATGAGGACCAGGTATATGTACACATGTACACAAGAGTGAGAATGACACAGTAAAAGAGGGAGCTGAAGCACTGTACACAATTTAACACAATTGTACAAAGATTAAGACATCGAATGCAGTTATTTCCTAGTGATGGGTTCACTGGGCATCCAACAAAGAGGTTGCCATGATCTGTTTGGAATGCTAGAAACAAAAAGCCTACCTGAACAGAAACTGTTGATTTTTTGCATGGTTAGCTAACTTCACTACTGGCAATTACTGTAATTATGCAGACATTGTCTTGGAAAATCACCCAGCTGTAGAATTTTATTCTCCCACTCTTAACTTATCCATTGCTCTTGACAAGTTCCTCAAAGGACTTGATGGGGTTTTAAAAAATGAGGAAAAAAAGTTGAACAACCCACAAAAGAGAATTCCCATTTTGCTTCCCCTAGCCTCTCCTATGGTTGATAACTGCCCTGGCATCCAAAGTCACCACTCCCTTCACAGAAATTCACATACCTATGTGTCTTCTCCACAGACTGTTTCACAGCCCAAAAACTGACGTCGTTCCACTTACAGATTTTCACAAACTCCTGCAAGGCAAAACAAAATCAATTCGGTAAAACAAAATACAATTCAGCAATATTATTCTTAAAGGCCAAGAACTATCTTGATGAGGTAGCATGTGTTTCTTCTGGTTTGAAGAGATTTATTTAAGAGGCAAGGGAGCTCCCAGCCTTAAATTTGATCTGTTTTAATGACAGCAGCCATGGGTCAGAATAGAATCATTATATTAAGATATCTTATTCTTACCTTCAGTTCTTTTTCTATTGGATGTCGAACTTCAGTCAGCCTGGCACGGACACGTTCTGAAAACTGATTGTAGTAATTGTATAGATTCCACAATACATTGCACAGCATGTCTGAAAGAATTTTAAAAAATTATTTAGCAAAACTACTCTACAGATAGATCATTCAGTAACGGATTATATTAAAGACTAGTTTCAAATCTAAACACAAAGCTCACCACCCACCCATTAAAAAGGAATGTGTTTGGTCAATGTTTTATAGGAGGATGGCATCCCAATGTGGGAGGAGGTAAACCAAACATTTCTGCTATTAAAGAACCCTGCCTCTTACTGTGTCCTTTGCTAAGTTGGGTTCTTCTAACTTTTTTTTTAAAATAGCCGATCACATCATCTCTGAATAGGGTGCAGAAACCTATCCAGATGTAGTGGAGAGGCTGTTAATGTCCAGACCATTAGCTTAGAAGGAGCATGAATGAAATAACGTCTGATTGTCTAAAGCAGCAGTCCCCAATCTTTTTTGGAACCGTGGACTGGTTGGGGGGGGCGGGCTCTGTGTGCGGGGGGCAGGTGGCCATGTTGCGCTTGCGGGTGGGCGTGTCGACCAGGAGGGCTCTGTGTGCGGGGGGCAGGGGCACCCCCGTGCTCAGAGGTGGCCATGTTGCGCTCGCGGGTGGCCATGTCGACCAGGAGCGCACATGTTCCTCTCGAACAGGGTATCCCTTGTTTACGCGTAGCAGCAGCAAATCCATTTGTAGCTCTTCTTGTTCTGCAGCCTTAGAAAGTCCTGAGCTGGCAAAATATCCTCCTGCTGCCATTCTAGTACTGGCCCCTACTTGGTTTAAAGATTTAATAGCCAGACCTGCTTAATAAGCACAGCAATGAAATTTCACATAGGAAAGGGCTGCTCAATGACATCCTAGCACTATATCGTGTAGGGAAGTAGTCTTTATCTGCCAGGGATTTCTGCATTACTGAAGCATGCATTAATGGGACAGAGTTGTAAGAAGGTAAGAGTGAGGACCTGAAGATTTAATAGCCAGACCTGCTTAATAAGCACAGCAATGAAATTTCACATAGGAAAGGGCTGCTCAATGACATCCTAGCACTATATCGTGTAGGGAAGTAGTCTTTGCATGCATTAATGGGACAGAGTTGTAAGAAGGCAAGAGTGAGGACCTGCTAATCTGTATGTGTGAAGAAAAGAGGTAACAAAGGTTAAGAACCACTGTGCTAATCCGTATGTGTGAAGAAAAGAGGGAGGGCCTACCAATCAGGGTGGGTACAACATTGGCTATGCTTGACTAAGGAAAACGGGAGAGCCTCCAGTCCACTTGAAACAACCACCTACCATTTCCTTCCACTTGTGGCATAAGCAAAAGATGACAGTGGAATTCCAGAAGCATTTGAAGTCGTGCATGAAACTCCCCAAGTGTGGCTCCTTCTATGAAAGCTTGCAGTGTATTGACCATGGCTGTTAAGTTCACATCTGTCCATTGCATAAAGTTGAAATTATAAGGAAGAAAGGGGTTGGGAAAGACAAGATGACTTATCATTCAATCAGATTTATTATGAACTTTCAAAAATTAGTGTGGTTGGAACCAGAATAACATGTCCCTGTTAATCTAAAAATGGTACTGTTTTCAAGTCTTGATATAATGCAGGTGCCTTCTAACTTACAGCTAACAAATCAGAATCCAGGTTCAGAAACGTGAATTTCCTCTCGGCCTTCCCCTCTCAGAAGCAAACCCCAACCTGCCATTCTTCACATCTCACCTATGACCTGGTGAATCAGTGTTTTGTTTTTTTTTTTAAATCCTGATTAGATAAAAGGAGGTGCAGTGGAGACAAAGGGAGATGAGTGCCATTAACACAAATAAGTCATACTCTATGTAAAAGCAGAGTTCATTATTCTGAAGGACTGAACATTTTTCTCAGTATGAGGAAGGCTTGGGAATGAATATGAGAGTTCATTTCCATCATTCCATAGCAACGCAGCCAATTCTACCAGTGATAGGAGTGACAGATAGATAGATAAAACTTTTATTACGGTCAAAGACCAGCCACTAGTGATTGGAGTGGTAGTTCACCATTGTCTGAAAACGCTATAGGTTCTCCACTTCTGCACTACAGAATAAAGGCTGTGCTGAAATCACAGGCATGGTTGGGATGCAATCCTGGCAGAGTTAGGATGTAACATTGCCCTCTTCATAATCCAAGGTTCCCAGGTTCATAAAATCATGGTTTATGAAGCTGAGAACAAAAGTTGGGTCTACACACATCTACCTTTGTTGTCTTGTTTTCAACTAAAAGACCCTCACTTTGAATGTCATGCAGAACTCTAATTTAGACTTCATCGGGATCTTTGTGTTAAAACCAGCGCATAAAGGAAACAAAGAAAGGGGAGGGACAAGGGATTGTCACGTCATCCATTCTGCATCAACCACAATTTGTAAAACTGGCAATCCTATGTCCAAATTAAGGAACAGAATTGTTTGCACCTACCCTAAACTTTAAGCACATACATGATAACATGCAACTTTACAGAGATGGATATTCTTCGTTGTGTGCACTTCTCATCTCTTAAAATAGAAGTGAGGCAACACATTTCCCACAGATTGTGCATGAACCCCAAGACCCCAAACATGCCCTGAATTCCTCCACACCCCTAACATTTGTTTTGTAAAGAAAAAAAGGGAGGAGGCTGTTGGGATGGGTACACCCCTCCAAGGCCTAAGTATGAGTGAATGCCACTCCTGGACCCCTGGAGACAGCCCGCCCCTGTTTTAAAGGCTGGTATAAACTGTTTGGCTTTTTTTCTATAGCACTGTAATAAACAGTTACCTTCACTTTTCTCTGTTTGCTCTTGCCTGTATTTTTCAATCATCTGATAGACTGAAAGCCAGTGTTTCATGGATTTTTCTGCATGATGTTTCATGGTATTATCCAGACTGACAGACCAACAACTGACAGTGGAAGAGAGAAACAGAGGGGGAAAGTATTTTAAGTCTACTGCTTTAGTTCATTTGTCAATAACTGTTAAGATTTAGCACAAAGGGAACACATACGTCAGCTCTAATTTGCGCCACTGAATGATCAACTGAGTGACCACGTCAAGGTGTTTCCTCAGAGACACGGCACGGCTAGCATTCTCCTCCCAGTCCTGGAAAATAAAGACACATCCTTCAAACAAAAAGACAAATAGTAATATTACAACAAAACGTTCACAAGGCCTTTAGCACACACACCCCTCCCCGCATTATCTAAATAAATTTTATGTGTTATATGTGCTTTTAACAGCTTTAACAGACTATTTTAATATCAATATAGGTTTAATTATATTTAATATAATAATGTATCATATTTTAACATTTTTTTTTATAATTTATGAGCTGCCCTGGGTATTGTAATTTGGGGAAATAAATAAAAATAAAATATTCATATGATGATCCTATAAGGAAGGAGCAGCATAATAAAGAGGGAAAATTATAGTGAACAATTTGAGGCAAATACTTTGGAAACACAATTTAAAAAATGGTGCCAACTGGAATCAGCTTACTGTTGTATGGAAGATAAAACTCAAACATTTCTATGAAAACAATCTATTTCATCTATTTCATGTGCAGCACAGATCTGCTGAGAATTTAACTGGAACAGAGGGAGGCTTGCCAGGAAAAAAAATATCTGTGTAATAATACATGTGAACACATACAAAGCAATTCTGACCTGAGACTTAGACAGCAGAATTTCCAATCCATTCAGGATTTTTGAAAGAGGGCTGGAGAGCGGAAAACTGTGGATTCTGTCCATTACAACCAAGAGCTATGAAATGAAAGACAGGAATATTTCTGGCTGTCACATCTCACAAAGAACATTTCAAATAACTTACTTCGGAAAGAACAAATATAAAATATCTGTAACAGCAAGATAAAATATTCAAGATTATTTTTAGAATTATAAGCCAGAATTACCTGGGAGTTGTCACTGCTTTATGCCATCATGTTGTTTCCAATCTATGGCAACCCTACGAATTCATTAGATCCAAAAGCTCCTGTCATCAATAGTCTAAGTCTTGCAAATTTAAGGCTGACTCAACTTTACTGAGTCAACGCATCTCACATTAGGTCTTCCTGTTGTTTCCCTGCTGCCTTCCACTTTCCCAAGCATTATTGTCTTTTCTAGTGAATTTTGTCTTATGATATTTTGAGTAGCATACAGATGACAACCCGAAAATATGAAAAAGCAAGCAATGATAAGTAGCAACATATGTACTTGCAACATAATCTGCGTATAGTTGTAGATAACTGTAAAACCAATTTTCCTACTTGCCAAATGATGTTGGTTTATGACAAATTTTACTACGTTTATCTGTACAGAAAGTACTACACAGCTATAGTCTTGATACATGGACAATGTGTCAAAACAAATACACCCATGTGGTCACTGAACTGCTATTCAATATGCATCACATGGGTCTTCATTTTAAATCTTTAGAAGTCAACAGCTTCTTACTTGGACAAGTGCAGGATGTTCAGGCCATTCTTGCAATAGCACCTTCACTTCCTTAGTGAAATTTTCAAGTACATGCCGGCACTTTCGTACTTGCTGGATATTTGGATGGTGGTAGAAGTCATATGGCCCTTCACTCTCCAGAACCAACTCTGAAGTGCCTTCTTCAAAAAGTGTATTCTGCAATATTGTACTAGTTAGAAGTTGGCTACCATGAACAGCATCATTCATTTCAGGACCTGTGTTTGAGAGACCAAGGAGAAGGCAGATGAAGGGCAAGCTTTGAAAGAAAACACATCTTCCCTAGGAGAAATTACAGTGGTGCCTTGCTTAACGGCGATAATCCGTTCCAGAAAAATCGTCGTTAAGCGAAAACATTGTAAAGAAAAGAAAAAAAAAGAAAAAAACTATTGAAACACATTGAAACCCCTTCAATGCATTCTAATAGGGTCAAAACTCACCGTCCAGCGAAGATCCACCATAGGGCAGCTGTTTTCACTGCCCGTCTTGCGAGGAATCCATCCCAGAAAACAGCAGGGGAGCTATTCTGTTTACCTGGCGGCCATTTTGAAACTGCCAATCAGCTGTTTAAAAATCGTTGGTTTGCGAAGAAACGGTTCCAGAAGCAGGGAAACGTTCATCGCAAAGTGAAAAAAACCCCATTTAGACCATCGTTTTGCGATCGCAAAAAGATTGTCATAATGCGGTTTCATCATAATGTGGGGCAATCGTAAAGCGAGGCATGACTGTAATAGCCAAGTGTTTTTGCTCACCCTGAAGGAGTGCGCACTAGGGAGAGGATTTTTGGATTTACTACAAATACCATAATTCTGCATTTTGGGAGTTCTAGCTATCTTACAAACACCTAAGGGTGATGCACGTGGCAGACAGGCCCGAACTGGAAGGCTCTGAGTCTTAGCTAGGCCAAGTTCTGCCTAAGCTTTCAGCTCAGAAAGACAACTCCCAGCTAGCATCAGGGCAGGAACAGGAAGTTCTGGCAGAGCTAGACCTAGCTAAGCCTCAAAGCCTTCCAGTTTAGGCCTTCCTGCCAGATGCATCATATTTAGGTTGTCTGTAATGTAGGCAGAACTCCCAGAATGGAGAATGATGGTATTTGTTGCCCAGAAAATAAAAAAATAAAAATCCGTTCTCAAATGTGCCCTATTGCAAGGAATTCCTTTTAGAAAAATACAAATGGCAGACACGCCGCATAAAATAAGAACACAATCAAGTCTTGAGGTAAGGCCCCGCATTGTGCATCCAATCTCCTTTCCATAAATGACTTCACTGTTCAGGATCAATCTTATATGTCTTTTTGCCTACAGTACTTGCAAAAACAGCCAATCACTGTTTTCCCTGGATATAGTCAAAGTTCAGTTACGAAAGATCTCCTCATTCTGGTTTGCTTCGCCACCTTCTATTATTAGTATCATGGAAATTTCCACCGATAAAATTAATGTCTTACTTTACACACTGGAATATATTATCTATTCAAGAGCAACAGAACTAAGTTAACTGATCCACCTAGTGAAGTCTTGACCACCACTGTCCATGCATACTTGACTCTTCTGTAACTTTCCAGGGGTGAAGGTAGGGAGTGTTTATATATGGTAGACAAAGGAAAAGACTCACCAATCAAAGGATAGAAGTGAGCCAACAGTGAAGAACCAGTCTGGTAACAGGAAAGAAATGCACTCAAATGATGCTTAGCCTGAAGGGATGGTGGGTTTTGCTGATACCACAAGGATCGTGCAAAGTAAAGGCACAGTTGCTGGTGCACTGTCATTAATGTTTTCATTGAATGATGAGAAAGAAGAGGCTGTTCAGCATCTGCTTCGTTTTCAAAACAATACTCCACTTCCATGTTTCCCTCAAGGCTTGCTTTATTAGTAATATCTTCAAAATCCTGCAAATTTTAGACATTGATCCATTAAAAGGTCAACTTAGTGTAACTGTGTTTAATGACCAACAACAGAACATGCTCCTAGGGAATGAGATTCACAAATAGGACAATCATATGATCTGGCAGTTCTACACAATTGTATGTACCCGCATATCATCTGATGAACCAAGCATTCCAGTACATTACAAGCCTGGAAACCAGAAGCAGTTTCCTCTCTATGCAGCATGCCCTCCGGATGTTATACACAGTAAGGAATTGTACCATTGTTCAACAGTCCATTAGAATTTTTCCTTATGCTATCAATGTCCAAAATGGATTCTGTCTCTTAATTTTAACACTAGACAAGACCTAGGAAAGAGTTAGATAGAGGAAAGAGAAAAGTAGCAATTCATACAATTGCCTGAAACACTTCTGGACAGTATCACGAGGTCTACAGGAAAAAGAAAGTTCAGTCGGGTACCTATAAAAGCATTAACATTTTACTGATTAAAATCCCCTTGCAGTTTTACTGCAATAAAACAGAAAGGAACTTAACTCCAAGAATACTCAAGAAAGGCTGGCTAATTATGTTGCCCCCTGTAGTTGGCTAAGGCTGGCCATGTGTGTGGCTATCTGGCTTCATGCAAACTGTAACACCTCTTTTGCCCATATCGTGAAAACTGTCCATTTATCACTATGTGCACATGTGGATAGAGCAGAAGCTATGGTTCATTCAAACTCCCCTGAAAAAGTACATTTCATAAGCATTCATAATATTTCTTTCTGCCAGAAGCTATGGTTCATTCAAACTCCCCTGCCATGAAAAAGTACATTTCATAAGCATTTATAATATTTCTTTCTGATGTTCCCTCTCATTGTCTCATTTTCCACAGCCACTCCTTTTTTAAAACAAACATAATGCATTATATAAAAAGCTTAAATTACTGACAAAAACAACCTACACGACCATAACAGGAAAAAAAAGCAGAATTTGGTTTTATAACAAAGGGCTCATTTCCTTGTTTTAAAACATGGTGTCCCTCATCTCTCTTTTATACTTATCATTTTATTTGTATATTCTGTGTCATCTGTAGGCTGCCTTTCTCCCGGTGAGGGGACCCAAAGTAGCTCACAATGTTAAAACAAATAATACTATAAAACCACAATAATTACAGATTAAAAAGCAATTTAACTGTAACAATAATTACAAATCTGTTCATTAATTGAAATAATTTACAATTATAATTTGCTCCAAGACTTCCCTCAGGTGTGCAACTGCCTTATCAAAGTTCTACATTAAAGGTTCTCACTACCACCTAACCTCTGAATATTTTCACTTAACGCAGTACTCAGAATCACACCTGAAGACACATCAGAGGCAAACCCAATTATTCACCTAGTGGACACATCTCAGTTCAATAGCTCAGTTATTTAGGCCCACCTGAAGACACATCAGAGGCAAACCCAATGATTCACCTAGTGGACACATCTCAGTTGAATAGCTCAATGATTTAGGCAACAGCCACAGAGCCAGAGGTCAGGAGTGCCTGCCTCTTTGATAGAGGCTGGAGGAGGTACAGTCCAAAAACATCTGAGGAACACAGGTTAAGAACCAGTGATTTAGGCCACTGGTTCTTAACCTTGGGTTACTCAGGAGTTTTGGACTGCAACTCCCAGAAGCCTTCACCACCAGCTGTCCTGACTGGGGTTTCTGGGAGTTGCAGTTCAAAAGCATCCGAGTAACAAAGGTTAAGAACCACTGATTTAGGCAACAGCCACAGAGCAAAGATCAGGAGTGCCTGCCTCTTTGATAGAGGCTGGATTCGGTGATCCATAGGGTCCCTTCCAGCTATGCACTTCTAATGATGATGGTGATTAAATTCAAATAATCATTTGCCCAAGCCAAATAATCTATTTCCCAGCTATTAAGCTGCTTATACCCATGTTTTTCCAGCATCATAACCCCCCTAACCCTAACCTCCCCTGAGAAATGAATCCCATGCAAAATCTTAATTTAAAACAGTCATTGTCTACCTTCTCATGAAGAGGGAACGTCCTTCTGAACTCCCTCTCTTCCTCCTCCTCTTCACTGAGGCCACTTCCATGCTTCTTACTCTTGTATCTATATAGACTGTTCTTTTGTTCTTCCTCTTCCTGAGCTTGTCGCTCTTGTTCATCCCATTCATTTATAATGACCTGATGAAGGAAAAAAGCAAGGGCTTGCCTTGGGAAGCTCCTAAGAGATTCATGCATACAAAACCCACATTACTGTCCTGTGAGAGAGACCTGGGGGTTGTGAGCCCTCTCCTACTTTCGGGTCCAAATCAGCAGCCTTTATTGCCTGTGCCATTGTTGTGGCCAAGACAAAAGATCAACCCCATCACTGATCTTTTCTCAGGGCTGCTCTGAGGTTCAGTGAGCTTCGGCTAGTGTGAGGAGTTGGGAGGGGCACACCTTATTTTAGAGTAGATTCATGCCCCTTAGAAGTGTCAGTCTCCAGTTCTCGGGAAAGGGGATCATGACCTTTCTTCTTCTGGGGGCTTGCAGGGGTATAAAAGCAGCTTTGGCACCCACATCCGACCTCCACAGCACACAATTCCCATGCCAAAATTTCTACCACTTCTCTAGAGCAGGGGCAGCCTCCTAAGGTTCCACCAAAGGCTCTTCTCATTAATCATTAATTAATTAACTCTGTCTGTCAAACCTGAGTCCCCTAATACTACCACCCCCCAAAAAAACCCCCAAACTTGAGGAGTGCCCAACTGATAATCTTTTTTAAATGACAAAAATAATCTAATTATTTTCAGGCCCTACGTTGCCCACAGAGAGAACTATGGGCACCTATTGGGCCTCTCAAACCCCTGAACTTGTTCACCGTTGGTCTAGAGTCTACTTTCAGTCAGTATGAGGACAGCTATCTCACTGTTCTAATGCCCATTAAATATAAGTAGTTTCAGGATTTATTTTAAGGACATCTTTAAGTTAAGCTTTGCTACAGTCCTTTTTTTTTATTACAGTATTTTTCCTTGGTTTTGTTTGATTACTGGATTTTATTGATGTAGATTTTTTATCTGTAATTTTTTTTAAAAAAATTAGGCATTGCAAACCATTCTGTGTCGCTGAAAAAGATGTAGCTATTCATAAACATTCTTTAGAGATGAAAAGCCATACCTGGCACAAATGTCTAAAAAGCTTCAGAGATTTATGGTCCAGTTCTCTCTGGGACAGCACATGGCAATGGAGAAACAACAGAGCGTTCACCAGCAGCTGCTCCTGAGTAAGGCACATCTTCTGCTCTTTGTCAGAATCTTCAGCAGAGTATTTTAAAGATAACCTCTTAAGGCCATGAAGGACATCCAGAGAGTTCACAGAGCACAAAGTATCTGCCTGGGAAAGGTAAGTGGGGAAGGTGCTGCCCACGGAAGGGAATGACAGCAGGGAAGCAACCAGGGTGCTGAGCTTGGCTGGGCTGACAAAGCTGCTGAACATCGTTCTGTGCACTTCGGAAGCGACGAGTCTTAAGCCGTGCTGGACCTGCAAAATGGCCGCTTGCAGGGGAGTGACAACATCAGGGAAAGCAATGTATTCCTCCGCCAAATGCTTCCTGAACTGGTGCTGTGACTGCTGCCAAGAGGCTTCCTCCTTCAGGACATTTTGTGCCACCTGGAAAGACTGGGCCGTATCCTCATGGAGCAATTGCAGCAGGCGGGTCGTAAGATCCTGGACTTTGGAAATCTGGGCAATACTGTTGGCATATTGATGAATCTCCTGATGTAAGAACGTGTAGCAAGCAGCTTGTGGCCTGAAGGCCTGCTTCTGGCCCAGGCGGGCAATCTGATCCTTCAACTTCTGGATTCTTTGGCATAACATCCTAAGAAAGGATAAACCTAGAGGTTACATCACCGATTGCGGGCTGAGATCCTGTTGGGCAGGCTCCATCTGCCTAACAGGAATGCCGTCGGCCAACAGCTGCACACTGCCACAGAGTGAGGGCTTCCTTTTATGCCACTGGGGTGCATGTAACTTTTGGCACTTTGGCCATGTGCACTCCAGAATTGCACAAGGAAGCCTTTAATCCACAGCAACCAGCCATAGCTGCTGATATCATTCCAGGATTTCAGCCGCAATTGAAAAGATACTTCTCGAAATACCAATAAGCAAAGAAACTGTCTGCAGTACGCAACTGCCATCCCTCTTACGTCTATCCTTCACTTTTCTTCTTCTATCATTAAGAACTCCAGTAAGTCACTTAAACCCTCTATGACAGGGGTCCCCAACCCCCGGTCCGCGGCCTGGTGCTGGTTTGTGGGCTTCCTGGAAATGGGCCGCAGAGACAGATCTCCACCCCCCCCCACATGCATGGTGGGTGTGTCACAATTACACACATGTGCACGAGTGCAACACCTCCCTGTGAGCATGACACGCCACCCTGCAAGCGCAGGGGTGCCTCTGCCCCCCCATGCACAGAGCCTGCACCCCCCCAACCGGTCTGTGGTCCAAAAACGGCTGGGGACCGCTGCTCTATGAAACAGCTTAAAAGCTTACTTTCCACCTGCAGACAAAGTTGGGGCCACATGGCTGAAAACACTTTTAAACAAAATGCAACTGGACTTCTATTTTAGCAATCATGGTTTGGCTTCAACTGCTGTGTTAATAACAGAGTCTGAAGGCCAAACTTCCACTAAGCAAATGCAACTGTCCTTTCATAAATGAGTCAGTTAATGAAATGAGAAATCCAGAGTAACCCCTGTAAAACTGGACGAGTATCAAGCTGCTATAACATTGAGGCCGTTCCCCCTCCCTTTCTTCACTATCTAGACCAGTGGTGGCAACCCTTTTTGGGCTCATGTGCCCAAACTGGGGGGGAGACCTCAGCGTGGGGTGGTGTGTCGTGGCAGTGGCAGTGGCACTGGTGGAACCAGAAGTGAGGGCGGAAGGAGGAATCCTGGGCACAGAGGGGC